ATGTCTTCATGTTGAAGGTAACAAAAAAAGAATGTGATTAAGTCGTACTGAATCGAGGTCCTGCAAAATTAGGGTCCTCATAACTGGGCCCACTAGTCCTCCAGGTGAAGTCGAGCTGTGTAGCCGCACCTGGTACCTGTGCGGTTTTCCATCTCAGTCCCTGTTCTCGCCAAGCCCGCTCCATCTTAAGCCACTGCAAGTCACTGCCTACATTTCCAAACCCGAGGTGAAAAACCACATTACACAATCAAGTTTTATAATGTCTATTATCTCAGAATTATTTAAACTGCATACCTCCAACATCAGAAAATGTTGGGAAGAATCAAAATTTAAAACATCCTGAAGGAAAAACAGTTAAAACAGAAAGCCCACTTTTGAAAGAAAATAAAGCATTTAATAAAAATGTAACGAGCTCTAAGAAATAAGGATGGCTTATATGCCATTCTCATGAAGACTTTTATTAAAACACAAACTGAATTTGCCTACCAGAGCCTGGTCTCAAAGCATTGTCTCTACCTTGTATCCGGGTCCTAGCTGGTGAATGGCAAATATTTGGGCCGGGTTGAGGGCTTCGCTGAACACGTACACAGCGCCCAGCTGGCCACAGAACACTCTGTTGGCATCAGCAGTCTCTGAAGATCCCAGAAAGCACTTGTCGTAGCTCTGAGGGTAAAATGTCACACACACAAATATCAAATGTATGATTTAGTAAGGACACATGTAGGCTTCCTGGCTGGAAAGATATCAAAGCAGAACAACAATGTCAATAGAACAAAGCCTCACATTAAGCGTACAGTGTGGCATGTTTACCTAATCCAAGCAAGCAAAGTTTTTAGGTAAAAACATTGGTTAGTTAAAGAACATACTTAGGGTTCAGCCAACAAAAAGTAGCCTACTCCAATTTAACCTGAACTACTCTCCAAATATGAGTTATTTGCCAACATAAAACTAATTTTAAAACGTTAATGATTTATAGTTGGCCACAGACTGGCTCAACTCAATCTGAGAGTGACTTTTTGGAGAGATTAGCCATCAGCACATGGGACCTCACTGTCTAACCCCCTTCTCTCTCCATCCCTGCGGGGCCCCTTCTATTCTCTTCACCAAGCGAGGACAGCAGGAAAGGTAGGCCCTCCCGGTCTCTGAGGACACAGCTGAGAGAAATGCGGACACCATGACCACCAGTCTGCTGCCCAGGGATGCTGGCACAGGCCGCTCCATCTGGAGACTTTGGGTGACAAGAAGCCACTGTCCAGCAGCAGACACTCAGAGCCAGTAAAAAGGACCATTGGGGCTTACTGCCCTGTGTAATAAAGACACTGTGCTCGGATGGGCAAACAAGAAGCCGTCCTACATCTGAGATGTCTGGTGACAAAGTCATTCACTCAGGAGTTCATGACGGTGGCCCAACTCTGAGTTTCATGGGCAGAAAAAAACAATCTTTTCATGGAAAGAGCCAGAGAGAGTCAATATTTGAAGCTTCGAGGGTCACACTTCACTTCTGCCATACATTCTTTAATTTTTTTGTTTTGTTTTTGCTTGGTTGGCTGTCTTTCAAACACCACTTTACAATTGCAAAAGCCATTCTTAGCATCTCCTGGAGGCCTGGCTTGCGGGGTAGAGTGACTGCACCCTGCCCTTGAAAACCAGTCTGGTCTATGTTCACAATGCTATTCAGGAGAACTTGGAACAGAGCAAGAGCCAAACCTTGACCTCTGGGACCAGACGGGTGGGAAAGATGCAGACATACTGGAGAAGGGGATCTGAGGTGAGAGAGTTTGTGTGCCTTTAGGCCAGGAGTTGCTCTGGACATGAGGGTGCCTCTGCGGTGACTCTATGGGAGGGGCCAGATGGAGACCTGGGATTGTCCCAGGATCAGGCAGAATAAGACCTCATAAGGGTCTAACTCTAGGACAGGGAAAGAGAAGGCCTGAGGTTCTGACTTTAGGATTTGCTCCCGAACCCCATTGGATGACCTCCTCCTTAGGCAGCAGACAAAATTTTTTTGTTACAACTGGAACATTCAACTCTTGGGCATATCTTTCAGATATGAGCCAGAATGATATTCTCAGACTGTGAACCAGGATCGCCTGGCTTGGCAAGACTCTCCTCCAAAAGGACCTTCCTGCAGGGTGAGGTGTGAACGCCCAGCCCTTAATCTGCATAGGAGACCCCACAATGTGACTCTCTACTGGCTTCACAACCTCCTCTGTCTGGGGGCTCTGTCCCCGCCTCTCCCGACGGCTCCAACACAATGGCGCAGGTACTGTCCTTGAACTGGCGCCTTGTGCCTCAAAACCTTTGCACTCCAGTACCCACCGAGGGGGCTATATCTCCAGGTGTCACACGGCTCTGCTCCCCCACCTCTTCTCAGTGACATCACCTTTGGACTAGCCTCCCCCTCAGGGCACCCCTGGTTCTCCTCCGTCACACTGTTTATGCTCTGCCCTGCACATTCAAAGGAGAGGGAAACACTTTTCAATGTGAGAGATTCAGGAAGAACCGGATCCTGAATTTATGTTTCCTGGCCTAAAATACTTAATAATTTGGCCATGTCATTCTACTCTTTCTGTTTCTTTCATCATACCCTTCAGCAACATTATCATACTATGTTTTAAACATAAAATTTCACTTAACAATAAGAAACCAACTCTAGAAAGAAGTAAAACTCTATGTAAAATTTTTTTAAAACTTACATCATTTGTGTTAACATGCCAAGCCATATCCCCATAGGAAACCAGCTGTCCGTTAACATAACACCGGATTTCACTGTTCCTCCATCGGTTGTAAATGTGAACAATGCTGATCATGTACCACTGAAAAGAAAGACATACACAACATTGAACAGCAGCACACGGCAATGCCTGCTTCTCACTGTCTGTAAGGCAACTGGAGCCTTCCTAAAACTGGGGAAACGCTCTGAGCATCTCAACGGTCCTCCTTCCCTTGGTGCTGCCCTTTTAGTTTTACAAGGTTGACAGTTCTACCACATGCAGTCAGCTCAGTCCTGAACCTGAAAGATGACTGAGCGCCACAGTGTGGGGCTGTCTCTACCAGTCCAGGGAGCCTGGTCTCTTTGATAATTCTGAGTTTGGGTCCACATTTTTCTTCCACTCTTTGTAGGAACTTCTAATGTGATCTTTTTCAGAGGCATTAGTAGTAAAATACACACCTTTTGCTAAGTCACTTCACTCTATAGAATCTTTAACCAGAATTCAAAGGAATCTTTAACCAGAATTAATTATATACTGCATCTTTTTTTAAATCAGAAAGCCACAACGTGTATTAGCCTTCATTGAACCAGAAGAGAGATATCTTTAAATAGGCATTTAACAGCTCGTGTTTTAGCAACCATTTTGATGAGAACGAAGGGGAGCAGAGTAGAAACCCAAAGGCCATCTGTAGACTTGGACATCCCCACACAGAAGGGTCACAAGGAAGGGATGGGCCAGCCAGGGTGCAATATAGGACTGACAAAACACACAACATTCCTCTAATTCTTTAATGCTTTCTCCCCCCCACACACCCACCAACTATCATGGCCCCAGTTCTATCTTACAAATCTGGCTAGACCTGAGCATGTATACTACTACAGATAAGAGCTCTAGACACACGGAATCCAGGACAGATAAATCCCTCAGGACCAATATTAGGAGTAATGATACCATGAGGGTAGGGGGAAGGTGTGGAAAAAAGGGGGGAGAAAGGGGAAAACAATTGCAATGATCAGTATACAACACCCCCGGGGGGTAGAAACAATAGAAATGTGGGTAAAGGGAGACAGTGGATGATGTAAAATATGAAAATACAAAGGATTTATAAATTATCAAGGGGTCACGAGGATTGGAGAGGGACGGGGAAAAAAGAAGATGATAAGGGCTCAAGTAGAAAGAAAATGTTTTGGAAATGATGACAACATATGTACAAATGTGTGTTTTATACAATCAATGTATAGGTTGTTATAAGAGTTGTAAAGGAAAGAAAAGAGCTGTAAGAGTCCCCAATAAAATTACTTTTTTTAAAAAAAACCTCGTGTTTTCAAATCAAGAAAATTTTCAAATTAAAATACCCCATAAAGGGGCAAAGCAATGAAGTCCTCAGGGAACACCAAAATAATCTTTGAAGCCTGAGTGTGGCACCCCATGAGACTCCAACCAGGAAACACTCCTAAAGGTCAACAAACAGACCAGGAACTATTTATAGGTCTTTCTTTCGTCTCTGGTTTTTTTTGTTTTCTTTTGCTCTCTCTTGTTTTTGTGCTTATTATTGTCTCTGCATGTCTATCTAGATAAGATAGGTAGGATAAGCAATCCAGAGGAGAAAACAACAGGACTCACGTTTTTTTATTTTGTTGTTTTTTTTTTGAGGGGGGAAGCAGGGGGAAGGACGTAGGTGTTAACAAACCTAGGGACAAGGGAACAAATGTGATCTAAAATTGATGGTGAGGAGGGCATAGAATACCTGATAGAGCTTGATCAAGGGCAATGTAAC